TATAATCGAATAAAAAAATATATTTAAACTTTTATTTTGCTGGAAGTTTTGAATCTATTATTCCCTGTATTTGTTCTTGAAGTTGATTTTTAGCATTTTCATCGAAATTAATAGACCGAATATATTCATTAATTGCATTCTTATAATCATCTGATTTCTCAAATTTTCTTTTATCTGATTCCTTAACTAAATCATAAGTTAAACCTCGTTGCTGATATAATGGTTTCTTAATTAAATCTTTGAATGCTTGAGATAAAGCACCTGATGCAATTCTTGCTACTATAATTGGTTGGAATTGCTGTTTAAGTTCATCTTTAACATTTGCGAAAACTGGATCGAATAAAGCAATTTTAAAGAATTTCTTAGCTGAAATTTCAGGTCTAATATTTGCATATTGACCATCAAACTGGTTAGAATATCGTGGTAATCCATCCGGTCCCTCTTCAATAGCATTTAATTCTTCATTGAAATAAGAATATGGATTATAACGGTATGAATTAATTGGACCATTTTCACCTTCTCCAATGTATTGTTTAAAGCTTTTCCATTTTCATCAAATTGCATAGGATAACGTTCATTATATGCTTTACGTTTAGGATAATCAGTTATAGTTAATTTGTAACCATTTATGACTTTAATATTTCCTTGACCATCAGTAACGAAAACTTCATTTATACCATCAGGTTTTCCATTTGGACTGTAATGTCTGCTTCGTGTGCTTCCCAATTTTGGCCCTTGACGTTTGGCAATGCTTGAGCTTTCTGGTAATGTTAAAACGTTTCTCATTTGTTTAACATCTTTTTGAAGACCAGCAACAATATGAACTAATTCTTTCATTCCATCAGGAACTTTCATGTTTATTATAGCACCCTTTTTGTTTGTTCCTTGTTTTAATGGAACCTGTAGAAGATTGCTATTTCTGTCATGTTTAATTATAAATAAAAAATAAAAATTAATTATAAAAAGTTAATCAAATTTAACACCCCCTTTATTTAAATCAACTATTATTTTTCCATGTTCACCTAATTGCTGATATTGTGTGTAAGTTCATTAATACTCATTGGTAAATTCACTTGATAAAGCATAACGTTCAACTGTTGACGACTAAACCACTGAAAATGAAAAAGGGTTGATAGATTTGATTTAATGTTTGTGCTTAATGCTTTGAAATATTGAACAGCCATGAAGAATGAACACTGAATGTGTCGACATTGAGTTAATAACTGATTAAAATATGATTTCCTCATTTGTTATTAGTTTTGATTTCACTGCATCATCTAGAAAATGAGTGAATGCAAAAATTCTCTATCAAAATTTGAAATAGAAAGTGTTTCAAATAATTCATTCCGTTGTTTATCAATAATTTTATCCTCTAATCCTTGCTTCTTGATTGTATTATATAATTCTTTATACATTAAAAGTTTTTTAAATAATCTTCTGCTTCTTCTTGTGATAAATAAATAATTGGAATTTTGATTAAATGCTTTAAAGATTCAAATGTATCATCTGAAGGTGAACCTGAACGGTTGATATAAATTAACACATGTGAATAGGGGGAAGTGTTAGCAATAATGATAATTTGTTTTAATATCGTTAATGTTTTACCTTTATTTTGTTTACCAATTGCTGCAGTGATTGAATTTAAGTAACATTCAGAATATGTAATTTTCATTAATTTTTCCTTAGATAGAGCATTTCTATTATCACTCAATGCTTCATTAATCAATCATCTATGTATGTATTATATACTCCTGCTAATTCTTCATAAGGAGTGTATGAATTTAAATCCATTTAATCAAAATAAATTTAAATTTTAAACATTTCTATTCATCAATATTTCATCATATGAACTTCTATACTGTGGTGGTGTACTGTTGGATGATTATTTCAAACCTTCAATCCGGTGTCCATGTCCAATATGTAGTCCTAGTAAACCAAAACCTGAGGAGGATTTGTCACCTTTGAACAGTAAGTGTCATTTTCACCCTGAATGATTGGATAAGCTTTCACTTGTACTGTAACTTGTGAGTTGAAAGTTTCTAATCCATCAAAGAATATACCTGCTCCATCACGTTGAACTGGAATAGTGCATAAGAATGAAGTTTGGTCTTTCCATGTTCTAGCTAATGGCGTGCCATCATCATCAATTCAGTGGTCTAGTTAATGAGTCCTCGTATTCTTTCTGTGCATTCATTCACCCCATTCTAAATCAGAAGCTTGAAGCATACGTGTAAAGAATATGTCGCCCACTGTGGTCATCGCTTGATCGGGGAAGTTTCTGGAATCTATAGTGACCTGAAGACCTCGAAGCATTGGATTTTCTAAAACTGTTCTTTGCATTGCATTCTTCGGAAATGCTAACACAACATCTGTAACATTATGAAGAGCGTATGAGAAATCTGAGCTGATACCTTCAGGAGTGATGCAACCTCCATTTAGTGAACGAACGTCAATATGTTGAGCTGGAATCATGAATGGATCTTCCTTACTGAATAAACGTGGTATTGCTTTAACTGATTCTTCAATTAAACCGTATCTGTGTAATGCATTTATCCTCTAAAACTTCCATCTTTGTGCATGAAATAATAACGTCATCAACTGTTCGTCAGCAGATGTAGCGGCTAAGCTTGTAATTAATTTGGCAGGAAGTCCGATTTGTTGGTTATTTGCGATCATATTTATAAACATGATTCATAATCTTTTCATAATTTTCATCAGTTATCTTTTCATAACGTAATTTTGTAAATCAGCAACTCTTACGGGTCAACCTGACAAAATACTAAAGTATCCCTGAAAACATAATATTTAAGAATGATATCACCAAATGATTTAGGATAATCATCGAACGCCTGAAATGCTAACAAATCATTTACCGGATAATCATTATCAAAAGTGATATTAACTTCTTCATTTGCTTTCTTGAAAACTTCTGAAGGGTCAATATATTTACCACATACTGAGTTATCATATTTTTGAACATTATTATATAACGAATGAACAAACTTTTTTAACTTTCCTTTCTGATTTTGGTTTATATGTTGCAAATGCGAAAGATTCACGGGCGCAATCCATCTGAAGATAACCGGCATCACCTCTTTCGGTTTCTACTTCTAATTGTTTAAAGCTTTGATTTGATGATTTGTAACCAACGAATAAACGCATGCATTTAAAAGCGGCATCACATGTGAAAGCTTTATTTGAAACTAGAGTTGCTTTAACTTTGCGTTTAATATATGTTCACCTAATTGGTTCACATCATGAGCCGGATTTGTAATTCTTAAATGAGTTTGTTTATCATCAAATATGGAGCATCAGAGTCATAGCATGAACTTTCAAGTTCTCTATAATATCTTCTACCGTCATTCTTTGCGAATATTTCATTTATCTTTTCGAATGAATGAAACACATTTCCATTAATCGGTTTAGTGTTTGGCACCAAATAGTTAGTCGTCATTTATTAATAAATAAAAAAATCAAAATTAAAAGATGAAATGAACTTTTTTAATTTTAATGAAATAATCAACTATGGCTGCAGGTATATTTAAGAAACTGTGGGATAGAGTAAAAAGAGGAGCGAGTAAAGTTTGGGAAACATTGAAGAAGGGAGCAAATTGGATATTTAAGAATAAAAGAAGCAATTAGTGACATTGCTGAATCAATAACACCAAAAGCTTGCCCCAATAAGAGAAGTTTTAAATAAAGGAGAAAAAGTTTTCAAAGACTTCAACCGATACTAAGATAAAAATAATATTTATTTTTCCACTATCTACCTCCTATTTTATTAAGTATTCCTTCAGCTATTCCACCAATTGCGTTACCTGCTTGTGCTCCCATCGCCGGATTACCTGCTTTAGTACCTAATACTCCACCTATGATAGTTCCTGCCGTTTTCGCTACTGGTGCCAAAAAGTTTGCAACGGGTTTAATAATCTTTTTATAAACCCAACCCGCAGCTTTCTTAATTCCATCCCATAATTTTTTAAAGAATCCTGCCGCCATTTCTGATTTAATATTAATTAAAAAAATATATTTCATCACTTATATTCTAATTTTTATTTAATGATAAATGAAACCGATTTTAAAAATAAATGAAACAGAGGAGGAAGAAATAAATGAAGGTGAAAATGTTCAACAAAAAATAAACGTTGTTAAACCAATTACTGAAATAAAAATTTTTTCATCTGTTGAAGAATTTAATGACTATTATGCTAATAATAAAAAATTATTTGAAGAATTGACAACGTGTAAATTGAATAAAATGTTTAAAGTTGATGGATTCAAAATTTCAAAAATAAAAGGGGTGGTTAGTTTGAAATCTATTCCTCAATCAAGAATCACCTCATTAATGAAAATAGATGATTTAACAAAAAGAATAGAAGAGATTGAAGAAAGAATGAATCAAATAATTGATTTCATAAATTCAAATAATCATTAGTTTCTTAAAGTTCAATGTTGAACTCAATCATTAGTTTTAAAGTTTATTTTTCATTCATATTCATTTAATAATTCACAATCTTCATTTTTAAATTGAAGTTTAACCCATTCAGGATTTAAACAATGTTTAATTAATCGCGGAATATCTGACATCATCTATATATAGCTTCTTTTATAAAAGATAAAAAATAAATTATTTTAAAATTAATGTTAATTTTTTAATGATTTATAAATAAATATATTTTAATGCATCGTCTATATATAGATGTAACAAAAAAAGTCACACAACCCTTCATATACTACTACTTGTGAATTTAAATCCCATAAATATCTTATTTTGTGAATTTAAATCCCCAAGTTCGAACAATGAAACATATAAGTTTCCCAAAGCTAAAAAAAGTGCTGGAAATTTTCCTTGATCAAAATTTTTCTGGTAAATTATTAAATTATATTATCCATTCTGTTTCTAATCATTTATATGTTTTCAATAAATTTTTTGCCTAAATTTTTTAAAAAATTGAAAAAGTGTGTTTGAACGAAAATATCCATTTTTTTCTTGATTAAAAATGTCTGAACGTGTGAAATGGCTTGGAGTATTTCGCAACCTTGGCATTGTTAACAGTATGGGTGAACTCGAAAGAATGTCCGATGCAGATTTTCAAGAAAAGTGTGCTTTTTGCTTAGATTGTGGAATGGCTCCTGATGAAGACGATGAATTAACAAGAGCAATCCAGGAATCTCTTGCAGATTATACACCAAAGCCTGCACCAAAACCAGAAATTACAAAGCCAGAGCTAGAAAGAAATAGAAAATCAACTCCCAGACAACCTCCACAAGAACCAGCCAAACCACAACCATCAAGACCAGCTCGTCCACCACGTACGGAATCAGGTCAAATTCGCGATCAGCAAAACTCCGATTTTGCAAGAGTCCAACAACAGCAGTTAGAAAAGCAAATGGCTGAAGAAAAAGCTCAAGCTGAAAAACAGAAACAGCAGCACCACCAAAAAGCTGAAAAGCCAAAGAAATCAATTCCAAGTTCATCTTCTAAAGAACAATTAAAGGAAAAAGCAGAAAAACTTGGCTCTGAACCAAAGGATGGCATCTCAATTGGTTTTCATATGATGGATGGATCTAAATTAAAGCGCAAATTTAAACCTACAGATAAAGGAAATGATCTTGTTACTTTCGTTGCTGCAAATGATAAAATGTTTAAAGCTGACGGAACACCAATTAAATTTAACCTTGTACAGAATATGGGAGCTTCTTTAAATCTTAGTAAATCCCTGAAGGATCAAGGCATTACTAGAAGTACTATGTTCACAGTAGATATCTTAGATGATTAAATTACGCCTTTTCTTTTTATAATTTTAAAGGATATTTAAATTTTTAAATCTTATTTAATCAAAAGTATATTTTAATCTTACATAGATCTTCACATCATTTAGTGAAGATTGATAAGCTAATTGGTATCGTTTGAAAACTTAAATCTTAAGCATATATTTATTTCATTTCAAAAAGTACAGGCCTTATTGGATGTTTGGGATAACTACCTTTTTGCAGAGAAGTTGGGTACAGACAGCGTTAATAAACAATTTTTTGGCAAACCCAAATTTTAGCTAAAAGTGACAGGGAAAAAAACGTTTCGTATTAAAAAAAAGACCGATGAGAGCTTCGTTCGAAATATAGAGGGAACTGAGAATGCGCAACCATTCTCAGGGAATATTGGATGCTATTCCCGTTCCCTCTGTATGGAAAATTGAGGTTTTCAAAGGGAGTTAAAATAATATCAAATTTATACTAATTTACTTCAAAATACAAAAGTATTTGACAGCTAAAATTAGTTACTTTAGCAAGCCTATCAATACCCTTTTACGATTATTGTTACTTTTTCGAAATACAAGTAAAAACAAATTTATACTAATTTACTTCAAAATACAAAAGTATTTGACAGCTAAAATTAGTTACTTTAGCAAGCCTATCAATACCCTTTTACGATTATTGCTACTTTTTCGAAATACAAGTAAAAACAAATTTATACTAATTTACTTCAAAATACAAAAGTATTTGACAGCTAAAATTAGTTACTTTAGCAAGCCTATCAATACCCTTTTACGATTATTGCTACTTTTTCGAAATAAAATAAATTTATTATCAAAAACCTTTTTTTTCTTAGTAAAAATAAACGAAATTTTTTACCTTATGAACTTTTGATGGAAATATGCAAATTTAAAATAATAAAGAAAGCCGCGAGCGAAGCGATCGGCTTAGTTCGAAGATTTTGATTCAAATCTTTGCTGATCTGTAATTCGCGGAAGCCGCGAGCGAATCGAGCGGCTTAGGTCTAAGATTTTGATTCAAATCTTTGCTTATATTCCTTAAATTCTTTATGAAACTCGCAACAGTTCCATAAAAAATTTTAAATTCTAAACTGTCGAAATTACCGATCGGTAATCACACCCTTCACGGGTGTGTCACTTTTACAGGCGTGTCACTTTTAGCTAAAATTACCCCTACTCCAATTTTTTTAAAATTTGATAATATATATTTCTAAATTAATATATTAATGTTTTCGACTTTTCCATTGTTATCATATTATTTCATATCTATAAACTAAATCAATATTTTTAAATTATTTCCGAAATCTTTGTATTCTATGTTTTCCATATATCCAATATGGTATTTTCTCCTAATAGATATTGATATGTAGCTTTTAAATTTTTTAATGTCTGAACAAGACGTGAACCCAAATAAATACAGTGAGGCGCGAAGTATCTTTAAATATGTTATCGATATATACAATGCATTGTATCAGCTCAAAACAGAAAATGAAGAAGATTTAAACTCAATCTACAAACTGATCAAAACCGAGTTGATTAATTCAAAGAAATATCTCCCTAAAAATATTATAAGAGACATTTTAAATATTATTCCGTTCAATAATCGCTATAAAAATTCATATTTATCACTTGCAAAACTCATATCTGATGATTACCATGTCAAAGAGATCAACGGTGTCATACCTCTTTCAAGCATCCTATTTTATAAAAAATTCGGAATTAAATTAGACAAATTTGATGATTTTGAAGAAATTTACTTAGAAAATCTGGATTCACACAGAAAATACAATTTAGGTCAGGTCAGGTATGAGGGGCTTCCAGGGGCTGCGCCCCTTCTAGCCCTAAGAAATTTTGCCCAAGACCCAAGAGGAGGACCGAACCCCAGCCGACCAGCCGGTGACAAAACCAAAACCGTTGTTATTTACATCATATTAATGATGTCACTTTTAAAAATGTCACTTTTTGTTTCACTTTTCACAAATTATATATGTTTTCATGCTTTGTCACTTTTCTGTCACTTTTCAGGTAAAAACATTTTTATTATTATATATAAATGAATTTTACAAAACCACCGTTACCGTTCTTTGGAAATAAGAGTAGATGTAAAGATATTATATTGAGAGAACTTAAGAAACTACCGAATGGTCTAACATTTGTAGATTTGTTCGGTGGAAGTTTCTATATATCCCATTTATGTCATACAATATTCCCAGACTCAAAGATTATATGCAATGACTTCGACAACTATATGGACCGTCTCAAACATATACCAGACACAAACAATATATTGAAAGAGTTAAAAGAAAAGATACCTATAGGTAAGATGGAACGTATACCATTAGATAACAAAAATATTGTGAGAGAGGTTTTGAAAAAAGCAGAATATATAGACTGGGATAGTATATCTGCTAGACTATTATATAGTGGTTCTATAAGAGTTCATGACATTGAAACACTTATGTCAAAAGTTTTATATCTTAACTATACAAATGTTTTCAAAGAGGACATAGAAAAATATATTGAGGGTATAGAGTTTGTGAGATGTCATTGGACAGAGTTGTATGAAAAATATAAAGACAAGGAAAATGTTTTCTTTATAGTGGACCCGCCGTTCTATAACACATGGGATTTTCAATACCAAGTAGACTGGACTTTGAGAGACTCTTTAGAAACTTTAGACGTTTTACATAACCATCCATGCTTTTACTTTACATCCGATAAAAGTGGTTTGGAAACCGTTATGAGATGGTTAGAGGACATACATGACTATGAGTTTAGATATGACAAGATAGAATATGAGAGAGGTCCTATAAACCGGAGAAAGTGTCATAACAAAGAAATTTTATTAGTAAGTAAATGTGGTTTGAAATAGGACTACTTGTTTTAGGTTTTTTCCATTGCGTCATTTATTTATTTGACGTGGCAGAAAAGTACAGAGAATATGAAGATGAACCAATGCCTGCAAATGTTCAGCATATGTACTCGTAAGAGATATTTTTATCTAATATTAAATGGACGCACAGAACTTAGCGAATGCACAGCAACCTGGACAACCAAACCCAGAGAATATTCCAAATGAAGTTAGAATACAAACTGCAATGGCAAACTATGGTCAAGTGCCAACAGATGTACAAATGCAAACTGCCATGTCAAATGACGCTGCGTTAGGTTTGCCACCATGGTATGCAAATATGAGATGGAAAGAGTTTTATACAAACCCTGAAGTGGGATATAAACAACTTTATGCAGATGACGCGAACACAGGAGTTGACCCAGAATATGTTTTCTACCAGAGGAGAAACAGAATGTATGAGCTCCAGTTAAAGAATGCTATGGAACTCAACAGGAAACGTAAGAGACTAGGTGGACATTAGATTTTTACATATAGTAAAATGGGTTTCTTCAGTAGTATTGGAAACTTCTTCAGAAGAGTTGGAAGAGGTATATGGAATGGAAAAAAACCGTAGGAAGAGGAATTTGGAACGGAGTCAAAAATATTGGTAAAAGAGTAGGTCAGTTTGTTGGTATTATACCTAAAGACCCTGAACCAGAAGAACAAGCTCCTGTTATACAACAGCCTGAACCTGCACCACAGTCTAGTTGGCAACCAAATCCAACACCTCAACCGTATTAAAAAATTATATTTTTACCGTTCGATAGTAGTAGTTGTATATGAAACTAAGTTCTAAGTAAAACGCATGGTATAATGGAATTATTCTTTTTCTTCCATCTGTAGTAAACCATACTTGAAAGTCTGAAATACTTCCACTTGGTGGTTCGTATAACTTTGTAGGTTTTTCGTAAAAGTCATTTGCCAAGCATAAGAAAGAGTTTTGGGCGCCAGAAAATGAAGCATGAACAATAATAGCAGCTGGGTCGAAAACATTTTCATATGTTCCATTAGGGTTTTCGACTTCATAAAAGTCTGGGTGTACTGGATATGCTGCAGGCTGATTTAACATCCTCATAAATCTATACCATGCCAAGTTGTTATATTTTGTAGAAATATAAACGTTTTCTCCAAGGTCTTCTATTCTATTGATTTTAACAGTTGCATTTTTCCTGTCATAAATAATATCGAGATGGTACTCTCCCTCGTCAATGTTATACTGGTTTGCATATTCGATATAGATATTGTTTATTTTTTCTTGAAAAGCTTGAAGAGTTGTTTCTAAGTTTACAAGCAAACTAACTTGTAAAAGTTTTCCCTGTTCAAATTTCTCATACATACGTTTTTCTTTGTTATAGTATCGAACTTCAAAACCGACCGTAAATGGGAAACCATGTATGGCTTCTGAAATGAACTTCATTCTACGAAAGCCAATAGCTTTTGTGACAGATGGGTCTCTTAACCATCTTAATGGGTAGTCAAAACGATAGCCTTCATGCTTTACGGTCTCTGTCTCAAACTTTTGACCGACATTAGTAAAAAGTTCATCTAATGGTTTAGTTGTAGCAACTCTAGAATTTTCTTTTTCTATTGGAAGCATATTTTATCTAGAATAAAAATGTCGAAAGATATTGCTTCCATAAGAGAAATACAACACAACCGACAACTCATTATGCAAGCTCTAAATAAGAACACAACAAACTTTTCAAACTATTCTAAGATATCTGAGTCATTGAAAGAAGGAAACTTAAAACTGACATTAAACCCTTTAACAGATGAGTTTCTATTTCAAGACAAGAAGAACAATACTGTCTGTATAAATCCAACAAAAGGAACTTTAAACGAGAACCTATAAATGAACTTCTTTTGAAAGCAGATGTTGACAACAAAGCTGACAAAGAATATGTAGACGATGCAATAGCAAAAGAAGAAGAAAGAGCTAACAATGCTTATGCAACAAAAGAACATACTCATCCTGAACTAGCAGACAAAACATATGTTGACAATAAAATGTCAAGTGAAGTGACAAGAGCTGAAAACGAATATTCTAAAAAGACTCATATACATTCTATATCTGAAATAACAGACTTAAACGTTAGCCTTGAAAAGAAAGCGGATAAGGAATATGTGGCTAGTAAGTTAGAGAAGAAAGCAGATAAGGAATATGTGGATGAAAAAGATAATGAAATTATAGAAAGGGCTGAATGGTATCATGAATGGACATCGAAGATTTTAAAAACTAAAGCCGATACAGGATGGGTTTCAGGATGTTTAGACCTTAAAGCAGATAAAACTTATGTTAACGATGAGTTAGAGAAGAAAGCAAATAAGACTCATACACATACAAGTTTTACAACTGTTGCTATAGAAAGTATTGAAGGAACGGTTGAAGAAACTGGTGGGGATGCATTATATTGTAAACCTCCTAACTTTCCACAAGGTTTAACATCGGATGACGACATAACGACGATGAAAAACATTAGATGTAAAGATGTTTATGTCATGAAGGATGAACATAATATTAAATTCACTGCTCAAGATTTATATGACAAGAAAGCAGACAAAACAGAGCTTCAAACATTAAAGACAGAAATACTTCAAACATTATATCCTATAGGCTCTATTTATACGTCAATGAATTCAACAAATCCAGCAACAGTTTTAGGTTTTGGAACTTGGACTCAAATAGTCGACAGGTTTTTGTATTGTGCAAACTCTTCAAAGGAAACAGGTGGAAGTAAAACGATTTCAGGTGAAAATTTACCTGCACACAGTCACTACATAGATTTAAGTACATCTCAAGCAGGTTGGCATAAGCATAGATATTGGGATTGGTCAGCAATGACAAAAGGAAAGGATATGATGTTAAAGACAACGTTAAGTTTGCTATAAATTGTTTCTGGAGTAACACTGAGGGAGGAGGAAACCATACACATCGCGTTTCAGGATATACGCAAACAACGGGACAAAGTAAAGAATACATGCCACCTTACATGACAGTTTACGCATGGTATAGAATTGCTTAGTCGTCATTTTCAACTTCTTTAGCATATTCGTCAGGAGTTGTCTTATATTTGTTAGGAACTGTCTTTGAAAGTATACCACCTTGAACTTTGACAAGTTTGAAACGAGGTCTGGCAATAGTAGTTTTATCTTCTGCTTGCAGTGTGTACATTTTGCCATGTTTGCCTAAAACTTCATAATATTCTCTTGTATACTTTCTTCTATTTTTACGAACACGAATGTGAGTACCTGTCGGGTTCCCATTGTTGTCATAGTCAATAGTATTTTCATATGGGTCGCGTTTAGGTATTTCTATTTTTACTTTGTCACCTTTCTGAAGTTTGAAGCCCGGCATTCTTTCTTGTTTGTCTCTTTTGACTAAATTATTAAATATATAGTCTTTCTCTAAGTCAGGGTTGTTTTTCATTTCTTCGGGGGAGTGGTTTCCCAAACCTTTTTTGTTTACGGCTATTGTAAATATTTAAAACTTGTCTCATCTTTGCCATGGAGAAGTGTCTATATTTGTCGTCATATGACATTTCATTTGCTTCACCACCTTGTGGTTGGTTTAAGTCTCTTAACATTTTTATACAACCGTCAATGACACCAAGAGCAGAATGGTTTTGGTCGACAATGAAATATTGGTTTACATTTTTTGAACGCAGATAGTTTTTTACATCATCTGATTTGAAAGAACTTTCACAGTCAGATGTCAGTTTTGTTGGATGGTATTTGTCAACGAATATTGTCAAAGCAGTTTTCACATCTAAAATATTTTTGGACCATAATGGTATGGCTTCACAGTATCTTGTGTTTTGACCGACAAATATTAGCCAGTATGGTGGTCCATCTGTTCTAACTCTCGGAATGTTTTCCAAGATATCCATAAACCAAGCATTTGGTGTTGAACTAAAGATTTTTACCATGAGTGCTTTCTTTGTCGCTTTAGAAACATAGGGGTCCTTGTTTGGATTCGTCATTTTTTAACCCATAAGAAATGGGTTTATTTGGCGCATTAGCAGGAGTTGCATCCAGATTTTTGCCCGCAGTGGGAACAATAGCCAGAGGTGTATTTGGAGTTGGAAGGAAGATTTTGAGTACATTAGGTATACTTAAAGAGCACACCTATTATACAAACTGTACAGAAAGGTTGGGATGTAGCACGAGATGCAACAAATCTTATTCCAAATCCTGAAACAAGAGAAAAGTTCAAGGATGGATGGACAATGTAGGAAGACAAGCAGGAAACTATTATAACAAAGCAAATGACTACTATAACCAAGCAGGACACTATATGGACACAAGGTGAAAGATTCTTTAACAGAGGATATAACCATGCACAACAATGGGTAAACAATAACCAACCTCAAACCGCCTCAAACGTGGGGAATGTAAAGTTTTTTACTGAGATGAAATGAACAATACAGCATTGAGACAAATGTGTTCAAGATGGATTTGTCGACTTCCAGCAGTTACACCACGTGTTTGTCAAGTTCTTCCTATACCTCAGGAAGTTTTAGACCGACTTAAAAAACCTAAACAACCAGTTGAAAACAAACCAAACTAAAATTTTTACTGAGATGAAATGACCGAAGAAGTTTGAAACGGTAGATTTGACACCACAAACAAAAAGTTCAGAACCATTGTCACAAACCTGTCAAAGAACTTACAGATGAGAGAAAAATTCAATAATAGAAAGTGCCAGGTCTGGAAATACAAACCCTAACTACAAAGTCACTTTTCATAAAAATGGAACGGCTAGTATCTCAAAAAAGAAACAGACTCTCACAAATAAATATTGAAGTCTGAAGGAGCTTTCGAGACAACAGATGGAAAAGTTTACTTCACTGACCAACAGTTCATTATAGAACATCTCATTGACTTAGAGTCGAAATATTCTAAACTTTACAAACAACACAAAAAGTTGAAAGGAAAACAAAAACAAATGGCATATGATATTTATGAAGATGTTGACGACACAACTGTTCCTGCAAGTGAAGTAAAGTCAGAGAAACCGAAAAGTGACGAAAAAACCGATAGAAGAAGAAAAACCAAAAAACTGAAGATAAACCAAAACCAAAGTTTAGTTTGGAAACTAAACCAAGTCAACCTTCATTAGCTGGTATGGGTTGGCGTCAAAGACTTATGGCAGCAGGCGGTTATGTAAAGTAAAGAAAAAATATTTTTTTTTTTTTATAAAAATGCCCCCATATAGAATGGATAGAAAGTCTGCTAGAATAAAAGCAGAGTTACAAAGATATGGTTGGAGAGTTTCGAAGAAGTTTAAATATAGGAAGGGAAGACCCATAAAAGTCTATGACAAATTGTCTGGTCTTCGCTACGAAATGGATTTGGAAACAGCCACGTGCCAATTATCCAAACAGACTAGAGAGGTTAGAAGAAGAACGTCTTATGGACATGCCTTTCGATGTTAGTGAACCTCAAGTTGAAGGAAACTTGTTTGTTAGATGAGAAATATGAAATTCACTGTTGTGAGTCATTTGAAGTCAGAAACAAAAAGACAAAAAGAGTTTTTAGCGAATGGGAGCGAAATGACGGATATGCTATTATGAAGATGGGTGGAAAACACTATCTTAAACATGTTGTCATTGCAACTCATTTTATACTGAATCCTAACAATTTACCTTTTGTAGACCATATAAACCATATAAGAAACGACAATAGACTTGAAAACTTACGTTGGGTCACTCGTTCTGAAAACAATAAGAACAAAGGCAAATTTGGAGATATTGTATTCGAATTTGTCGACGAACTAGAAGATGAAACAATTGAAATTACAGACTATGGCAAGCATACGTTTGAGTTTTACTACTATAGCGAAGAACAAGACTCTTTCTACTTTTATACCAGCGTAAACGATAGGAAATTACAAGTATATTTTACTAAGGCGGGCTTGCTTATGTAAACTAGAGATACAGATGGAAAATACGTTCAAATACTTCTTAACAAATTCAAGAAGCTATATGGCATACCATTTTAAAACAATATATTTTACATATATTAAATGCTTCAGGTTGAAAAACAAAGAACAAAAGTAGCAGATACAAAACGTTAGACTATATCTTTACAAATGCTGGTAGGACTATTTCAGATGAAGAAATTTCATCCCGAGCATACAGGTTTGACTATCCAATTCGTTGGCTTCAAAGTCCTTCAGATGCAAAGGCAATAGCATTAGAAGAGTTTTGTTTTCAAATAGAACTAACGCATTTATGTTCGCAGTATATTTCATGGGCAGTATAAAGGTTCTGATGGTCTAATAGACAAATTTGACGAAATGAGAATCTTTACAGTTCGTTCAGACGAAAGTCTTGAGAAAACTCTAAATGACTTCAAACTCAAATGAACAAATATTATTGGGAATTTCAAGAAAAATACGACTCTTTACTAAATGGAACATACTATCTGAAACTAGAATATGACAAGATGAACTCCACCGTTTCATTTCAAAAGATTGAAATTAACCCTCCAAGAGATACAGAGTTTTTATTTTGGAAAGTAGACAAAACGTTCTTGGCACAATTTCTTCGGTTACTAAACCAGAACGAACCATTACCACCAGATGGTCCATTTCAATTTATACTTCCACCAGCAGATTTGACAGTTTATAGAAACGTGTTTGACCCTCAAAATGTTATGTGTCATGCAAGTTTCAGTTCAAGCAACAATAGTTTTCTATGTATTGGTAAGGACCTTTATGACTTTGCTTCTAAATTCTACGAATCACCTAGTAACAGTTTCTCTGACTTTCAAGTTTGGTTTACAACAAATGGTGTGCAACATATTATTCCATTGTACTATGACTTTTATCTCGAATTGTCTTTCATATATAACTACGGAAAAGTGCTGAAAAAGTATTGAAAAATAATGTTTATGTTAGCATGTTAGATCTACCACGTTTTCTAACCACTTTTCTAACATCGTAGAAAACTCATGAAAACAATTTATTTTAAAACTTTCACAAAAAACATAAAAAAGTGAAGTTAAACGTTAAGGTTTACTGAACTGGTTGGATGTCGCCTTCACAGGTTATGTAGAACGGCTGACCCGAGAAGCGAAGGAGAGACTGAATTGCCAATTTCATATGGGGTAGGGGGTTCTCCTTGTTTGGTATTTTTATCCAAGGACGTTTGTTTAGGAACTTAACAAGAGCTTCCTTCTTTGCTTGCTTTATGTCGTCTACAGGAGTGTTTTCTGGTACCTCAATTGGAATTCCGGTTTCAATCTCGAGCTGAAGTGTAGACCTTCCAGAAATAGTGGTGAACTTGACCTTGGGCTTCATGACCTTGCGCAAGTAGTCTTTTACGCAGTCGTTAATTTAAATTAGGTAAACTGCCTCGTCAAGTCTTTCTTGCATTCCGAGTCCTTCCATCCGACAGGAAAATATTTTCCCGACAACTGGAAAAAATTTTCCTTCCGACAGAAAAAATTTTTCCCGACGACAGGAAGAACTCTTCCAGTTGTCCGTCCGTAAACCATTCAAATTTTCGAAAATTGAGAACTTTTTGGTCGAACTTCAGAAAAAGTTCTTCCTTCCAACAGAAAAATTTTTTCCTTCCAACAGGAAAAAATTTTCCATCCGACAGGAAAAAATTTTCCTTCCCGTTATCCAACCGTTAACAAGCTTGCCTTTTACATTCTGCCTGAGGAAGTCTTTTACGCAGTCGTTAATTTCAATTAGGTAAACTGCCTCATCTAATGGCTCGATGTTGTCCATTGCTACTGTCAGTAAAAGTACTGCTACTGTCAGTAAAAGTACTGCTACTGTCAGTAAAAGTACTGCTACTGTCAGTAAAAGTACTGCTACTGTCAGTAAAAGTACTGCTACTGTCAGTAAAAAGGAAAATTTGAGAGGGTTTTCGACGATAAAGTACTGCTACTGTCAGTAAAAGTACTGCTACTGTCAGTAAAAGTACTGCTACTGTCAGTAAAAGTACTGCTACTGTCAGAAAAAGTACTGCTACTGTCAGAAAAAGTACTGCTACTGTCAGAAAAAGTACTGCTACTGTCAGTAAAAGTACTGCTACTGTCAGTAGCAGTACTGCTAGTAGCAGAGATTTTTATCGTTGGTGGTCCGACGGTTAAGCCACAAACGAATGTCCGACGTCCCACCAACCGAGTCCATTCCCAAACCAGAGGAACCTAAAGAACCACAACAGTCTCCTCAGCAACCTCAGTTCCAGCAAGTACCTCCGAATTACTACCAATTTCCACCTCAAGGTTACTACCCACCACAAGGCTTCCCGAACTACCCTCCTCAGCCTATGCCTTACTGCCCCAACCCTTGGATGTTCCAGCAAGCTCCACCCCAGCAATTCCAATCTCAATCCAAATCGAAGAGAGACCAAGAGTTCGAAGAAGGTCTGAACCGCTTACGCAAAGATTATGCCACAGCCCCTATTGAGAGAAAGTTGTTCCCGGACCAAAAATATAATTTAGGTGAAGAGGTTAGATCTCACCCGTTTTCTCACCTCTTTTTTCACCTCTTGAATTTTCATGAATTTTCCCGAAATAAAAAATAAAGTTAGTTTTATTTTGTATGTAAAGATATGATTTCAGGGATTTTTTTGACGAAGTGTCAACCTTCACTTCGTCAAAAAATAACAGTTATCTAATGAAAAAGTGTCATTTTTTTGTATTTTTTTCATTTGACGAGAATGTCGGGTAGAAGGTTAGATCTAACCTGTTTTCTAACCTGTTTTCTACCCTCTTGAATTTTCATGACTTCTTCGTAAATGTTTTGTCAAGACTTCATCGTAATGAGTGTAAAGGACCCAAAAATATAATTTAGGGTAGAAGGTTAGATCTAACCTGTTTTCTAACCTGTTTTCTACCCTCTTGAATTTGTCAAGACTTCTTCGTAAATGTTTTGTCAAGACTTCTTCGTAAATGTTTTGTCAAGACTTCTTCGTAATGAGTGTAAAGGACCCAAAAATATAATTTAGGTGAAGAGGTGAGATCTCACCTGTTTTTTCACCTGTTTTCTAACATGGTCTAAAACTCTCGAAAATCATGAATTTTCATGAATTTCCTTAAGATAGAAAAAATAAAGTTAGTTTTATTTCATTTATTTTTTTATTTTGTATGTAAAGACATGATTTCAGGGATTTTTTTGACGAAGTGCAAACCTTCACTTCGTCAAAAAATAACAGTTATATAATGAAAAAGTGTCATTTTTTTTATTTTGTATGTAAAGACATGATTTCAGGGATTTTTTTGACGAAGTGCAAACCTTCACTTCGTCAAAAAATAACAGTTATATAATGAAAAAGTGTCATTTTTTTGTATTTTTTTGTATGTAAGATATGATTTCAGGGATTTTTTTGACGAAGTGCAAACGTTCACTTCGTCAAAAAATAACAGTTATATAATGAAAAAGTGTCATTTTTTGTATTTTTTTGTATTTGACGAGAATGTCGGGTAGATGGTTAGATCTAACACGTTTTCTAACCTCTTGAATTTGTCAAGACTTCTTCGTAAATGTTTTGTCAAGACTTCTTCGTAAATGTTTTGTCAAGACTTCTTCGTAAATGTTTTGTCAAGACTTCTTCGTAAATGTTTTGTCAAGACTTCTTCGTACATGTTTTGTCAAGACTTCTTCGTAATGAGTGTAAAGGACCCAAAAATATAATTTAGGGTAGAAGGTTAGATCTAACCTGTTTTCTACCCTCATTTCTACCCTCTTGAATTTGTCAAGACTTCTTCGTACATGTTTTGTCAAGACTTCTTCGTAAATGTTTTGTCAAGACTTCTTCGTACATGTTTTGTCAAGACTTCTTCGTACATGTTTTGTCAAGACTTCTTCGTAAATGTTTTGTCAAGACTTCTTCGTACATGTTTTGTCAAGACTTCTTCGTACATGTTTTGTCAAGACTTCTTCGTACATGTTTTGTCAAGACTTCTTCGTACATGTTTTGTCAAGACTTCTTCGTAAATGTTTTGTCAAACATGAACGTACATGTTTTGTCAAGACTTCTTCGTACATGTTTTGTCAAGACTTCTTCGTAAATGTTTTGTCAAACATGAACGTACATGCTTTGTCAAGACTTCTTCGTAAATGTTTTGTCAAGACTTCTTCGTAATGAGTGTAAAGGACCCAAAAATATAATTTAGGGTAGAAGGTTAGATCTAACCTGTTTTCTAACCTGTTTTCTACCCTCATTTCTACCCTCATGAATTTTCATGAATTTTCCCGAAATAAAAAATAAAGTTAGTTTTATTTTATTTATTTTTTTTATTTTGTATAAAAGATATGATTTCAACAATCGGCACAACAACAATTCAAACAACAGCACCAAACTCGTTAGTCATGAATCCAACATCTATGTTAGTAGAAATGAAAAGCTTCATTCCTTCTTCATATACTTTCGAAACAAAAATCCAGAAGATAAAGCAAGAACTTTTAACAAGTAATTTAGACTGTAGTGCGAAAGATGAAGAAAATGAAGAATATCTTTATGAAATGCAGGACCTCATCGACCATTTGCCCAAATTGCCTGAAATCCAACAACAAAAACTAACTATTCCTGAATTCGACGAAATTGAAGTCAAAGCAACTGACTCAGTAGAAATAAAGAAGTTCATACGAAAGGTAAACTATGAGTTTCTAGGATTTCATTGCAACCATAAGGTTATGGACAAAGATTGCGACATGGTATATAAGAATGTTTCTGACATATATAAATCTGAAGAATTTAAGACCTACGACAACTTTGTTTCGTTAGTTGCTGAATGTGTTTGGGAAATAAGAGATAAAAATAGAAGAGGCAAAGTATGGAACAAACAAATAAGACCCGCTATGTTTGAGATGAAGAGAGCAATTGACGCTTTAGTTGTTCTAGCAGGTAAGGTTTCAGAATATAACGCAAAAATGAACCCGCAATGTTCTAAATGTAAAGCGGCAATTAGGAAATATAACTACTCCGTCAAAGAGATAGAAAGAATGAGAAACGACTATGCAGATTTAAAGAAAGAAGCAGAAAAGCCAGCAGAAGATAAAATGGACATGTTAGAATTTCTGAACAAAAACTATCCAACTGCTGACGATTTCCTTCTATCTGACGTCAAGAAGAAATATAAAGAGACTTTCGGCATAGTTAAAACATTCGATATCCTCAGCGAAGAAATAGAAGCTACAAAACTGTTTAGAGTCTCACGAATTCATAACGTTTACCATGTAAAACGCTTATAAAATAACTGGGGTAGAAAAGAGGTTAGAAAACAGGTTAGATCTAACCTTCTACCCTAAAATATATTTTTGCTGAAAAATGACCAAAATTCTGAGTAAAATAATTTTAGGGCTTGTGTCAAACCGTTGAGTTTTCACAAAATTTAAAAAATAACGTTTACCATGTGAAACGCTTATAAAATAACTGGGGTAGAAAACAGGTGAGAAAACAGGTTAGATCTAACCTCTTCACCTAAACATTATTTTTGCTGAAAAATGACCAAAAAAAGTTAGTTGTGTGTTTTGACAGCATGTTAGAAAAACAGGTGAGAAAACAGGTTAGAAAACAGGTTAGATCTAACCTTCTACCCTAAAATATATTTTTGCTGAATTCCGTATGAAATTTCATGAATTTCCTTAAGATAGAAAAAATAAAGTTAGTTTTATGTTTATTTATTTTTTTATTTTGTATGTAAAGACAGATATGTCAAACATTGAGTTTGAAACAGTTAAAAAGATAGACAATGACACCAAAGTGGTTAGAATAGGTGATTTAAACGTAAGATACTCAAAGAAATACAACAAATATTCTTTGTCAGACATTATATTTCCATCTGGAAAGAAAACACACGACTGGGTTAGAAATGCTTCAACTCAGAAAATTTTGACAAGAAATCCTGAGCTTATGATATCGGTAAGATTCTATGGAACTACAGCATATCTTATAGACAAAAGTCTTATACCAATAGTTTTGTTATGGTTAGACCCAGTTGTTGGATATAACTTCATAACATATGGTTCATTCGATACGGAACGTTGCAGTGAAGGCTTACTTTACATCGTTCAGAAACCGAAGGACTTCAATACAAAAAGATATAAGATAGGAAGAACATATAATATAACTCAAAGATATGACAGTACAGTCAATAGAGTCAAGGTTGTGTTTGCTAATGATATGAGAGCTGCAGAAACAGAACTACTTGAAAAGTTTGAGAAAATGTATGGTGCTCCCATAAAAGGTAAAGAAACGTTTGAAGTAGATGAGATAGATAAAGCTATAAAATTATTTGACGAAGTTGCTGAAAAATACATGTAAAGCGTTTATTTTTGGTCTTTTGTGAAAGTCAGAAAATAACGCTAATTTTTTATAAAATTTGACGAAGTGCAAACCTTCACTTCGTGTCATAATGTAAAAATAACGCTAAAATTTGACGAAGTGCAAACCTTCACTTCGTGTCATAATGTAAAAATAACGCTAAAATTTGACGAAGTGCAAACCTTCACTTCGTGTCATAATGTAAAAATAACGCTAAAATTTGACGAAGTGCAAACCTTCACTTCGTGTCATAATGTAAAAATAACGCTAATTTTTGACGAAGTGCAAACCTTCACTTCGTGTCATAATGTAAAAATAACGTTTACCATGTAAAACGGTTGTGAAAAAAAGAGGTGAGAAAACAGGTGAGAAAACAGGTGAGATCTAACCTTCTACCCTAAAATATATTTTTGCTGAATTCAGCACAAAAATCTGAGTAAAATGGCATAAGATTGCTTCCCTCGGAAAACCGAGAGAAGAGATTCCGTACGAAAACAGTGAAGAACAGCGAGTAGGTAAGAAAACCCAGTCGCCTAAAACTCATGAAAATCGTGAAAAATAACAGAGTATTTTGACAACTTCAAACAAGTAGAGTAAATTGCACTCTTTATTTTTACGCTTGACTTTTTACAATTTGAACTTTGTTCGCGTAGATATGAATTCTGAAAGAAGTATGAGGGTCTTGTATGACTTTGTACTTCTCCCATAGTTCATGTCTGTCAAACTTACCTGCCATGGACTCTTTCATAAGTTCCATGAAATCGTCTTCGGACAATCCGGGGAAAAGTATAATGTCAGTAAGTATTCTTTTAACATCCTTACTTAAACTCTTTGCTGTCTGTACACAAATGACAACTGAGATGTTAAAGTGTCTGAGCTTCTTAAGAATTCGACACATATCTTGTTCTCTATTCTTTAACAAAGGATGAGAGGCGAAATCATCTAAGATAAGAAGACACCTATGAGGGTATGTCTTCCAATCGTAAGATTGCAATTTCTTCGAAATGTATTCTATCTCTTTCTGTTTGTTTCTGAAGTGTTTCTTCTCTAATATTCTCTGCATTTCCTCATTTGGGTCTTTAAACTTCGAATTTATATACTCATTTATAGCATTGTACTTCAAAACCCTTCTTTGGTACTTCTTTATCCAATCTAACAACTCAGTATCCTTTATACATACTAACTTAGACTTCTTTATAATATCTTTGAACGAATTGACGGTTTGGTCAAATTGACCAGAAGTACTACAAATAACAACTAACTCATAGAATGGGTTCTTCTCATCTAGTTCTTGTTGTTGTGCAGCCATTTTAAGATAAGTGAAAGTCTTACCCGACCCAGGTGTGCAATTAGACCTGTTATACCATTCTGAGCAAATAAGAACTTGTCATGTATAGGCTTTATCTGAGCATTTTCTAACTTCCTCTTGTTCTTGTTTAAAACATTCTCAAATTTCTTGTCAATGTCAGCAAACTTTTTTTCTAACATATTTTTAGAAAAATTAAAATTTTTATCTTTTAGAAAATGTCTAGCGATTTCGCTATCTATATTCGAGACAAGCTTTTCGACAGCAAAACATCTGTCGACCATAAAATCTTACATAGTGTAAACAAGAAAGGGGAATTTGTTCTAAAGTTCTGTTTCTGGGAATATGACAAGAACCATAAAACATTAAGCAGAGCAGTCTTAAAATTTGTCAATGACAGACTTGTTGACAGAGATGACACCGATTGGAAAGATGAAGTCCAACAAAATTTCTTAGAATGCAAAGAAGACACATGCGCTGTTCTTGAAGATGAATAGAAAACAGAATAGATGAGCTATTAAAGGACAAAGAACTTTTACATAAATATGGTTGCGCCAAATTTGACATAACTCCACAGAAAAGAAGAAGAAAGAAAAGAAAGAAAAGAAAGTAGAAGAAGAGAAGAAAGAACCTGAACCAGTTCCAGAGAAAAAGAAATTTGACATGTAAAAATAAAATTTTATTTTTAGAACATTTCTGGGTCAATGTCAATGTTCTCTTCCTCTTTAGGAGCAAACACTGGCTTAGACTCTAAAATCTTTTTACCCAATTTACCTTGAACTTCAACTATCTTAGACTCATAATATTCATAGTCGTCTGCTTTCTTTGGTTCATAAGGTATAACAAGTTTGTATGCTTTGCCTTCTTTAAGGTTTGAAAACCTTCTGTCAAAACTTTCTTTGACTGCTAAAACCTTCTATGTCTAAGTCTTCAAATTTCGCACCATTTTTAGTCACAATAGCAAACTTAACTGGTTCGATGTTCCAAACTTTGCTGAATGAAGACTTTTCAAAATGGTAGAAGTAAACATTCAAATATGTGAATGGGTCTAGTTCTTCTTTAAGTCCTGACATGTACTTGTTTACTGAGATGAATTTCGTCATCTTTTCTATCGGATAAAAATATTTTTTTTAAAAATTTACTCATAAAAATTTTCTTTGTATATACACCATTTGTACGTCTAAAAGACTTTTGACATTTGCCAAGAATGTTCGTTTAGACGCTGTCATATAACCATATTCTTGACAATATTGTTTATACGAATCGTACAATGACCTTTCATCTAATGACACAAAGTCAGTTTCATCTATGAACAGTTCATATACACTCTTGTTTGCTTCTAACAATGTTTGTCTCTCTCGGTATGTGGAATTTGTCTTGGATTGAACTTTGAAATATCTAATGTCATGAAATATGAGAACAAGTGGTTGTAAAGTCAGATGTCAAAGTTTCTGCTAAGTCGTCAAAATATTCTGTATCTTGCATATGAGAATCTGACGTTCTGACAACTACATATCTTCTGTCAGAACTTTCTAATTTCATCGGAACAGCATTGTTTGAAACCATAATGAAGTTTGCAACATTTTCACAAACTCTTTGGTCTTTATATTTTCTTTCAACAACTCCAACTTTGTCTGTTATAAGACTCTTCAAAGCATCTGAGTTTCAAAACTTTTGTTGTATCTATACTTTGAAGTTCATTGCAAACTATAAGTTTCATATTCTCTATTGAGGAGTTAAACTTGCCACAGATGTTTTCTAAGTTTGTCATATTCGGGTTCGAATAACCTTCTAACAGTTTGCACAAAATATCTGTAAAGAATGTGTTCTTACCAGTTCCTTGTTTTCCAATTATAATGAGAGCAGTTTCATTTTTAGCACTTGGATGTTGTAAGATGTTTGCAAACCAACATAAGATATACTCATAGACTCTTTCGTTTCCATTGCATATAATTCTTTGACATGGTCTAACCAAGCTTCTATAATATTTTCTTTCCATTCTACTTGTTCGTATTTATATCCAGTGAAGATAGAATAGAAGTTTGGAGAAGGTGTATAGAACTTTATACCTCGAACTGAAAAATCTTTCTAACTTTGACAATAAGATATCCCAAGCATCTAACATCTTCATGCCAACTTGTACAACTTTATTTTCTTAAGTTTCTGTCTACATTCTTGTTCTGAAACTATTGTTGCTCTTGGTTTGTTAAAGACTACATCCATTCTTTCATAACATAACATTCTGGGGCAGAGTCGACATAAATGACTAAACGTTTCAAATTCTCGACTGCTTTGTTATAGTCTCGAAATGGACACATATTTCTGAATGCTTGGAAGTCATAAAAATCTGAAACATCTATTCTGTACATTTTTATAAAAATAAAAAAAAATATTTTTTTTTATTCTTGACTTTGTTGTTGCATTTGTTGCATTTGTTGTTCTTGAGCTATTGTTGTTGAAGTTGTTTCTTGTAATACAATACTTTCACCAGTTGCATCTTCCAATTCGAAACTTTCTGCCGTCATTGACAAATACATAGGACATAAAAGTTTTACAGGAACAAAGTTTGCGTCAACTAATGTCAACGTTATACTTGCCAAAGTGTTTGAGTTCACTAAGGTT